CGTTGGTGTTCCCCAGCATCCCCTCTGGTCTGCCACAGGATGGGCCTCTCTGCCGCAGCCCCACTCTGGGGCCCCCCGGGGCTGCTCCTGGCCTTCGCCCTGCACCCGGTCCTCGCCCTGCGCCCGCACCGGGACTACTGCATTCTGGGCGCCGGGCCCGCCGGCCTGCAGATGGCCTACTTCCTGCAGCGCGCTGGGCGTGACTATGTGGTGTTGGAGCGCAGCTCGAGTCCCGGCAGCTTCTTCGCGCGCTACCCGCGCCACCGCAAGCTCATCAGCATCAACAAGAGGTTCACGGGCAAGGCCAATGCGGAGTTCAACCTCCGCCACGACTGGAACTCCCTGCTGAGCCACGACCCCAGGCTGCTCTTCAGACACTACTCCCGCGCCTACTTCCCTGATGCTGGTGACATGGTGCGCTACCTGGGCGACTTCGCAGCTAAGCTGGGGCTGCACATACTGTACAACACAACCATTGCCCACGTCAGATTGGACAAGGATGGGCAGGCCTGGAATGGCCACTACTTCATCCTGACTGACCAGAAGGGCCAGGCATACCGATGCAGGTAAGGAACCTGGCCCAGAGCTGACCTGCTGAAGCAGGGTCCCTTCCAGAAGGACCTTGGTTGGCCAGTAAGGTGTGGTAGCCATGGGAGAAAAGGGGACATTTCTGCCATTCCTGACTCCCCTGAAATTCAGTGGTAAGAGGCTCATCTCAACCATCATTTCCTAAAGTGTGTCCTAAAAAAAGGGTCTTGTGGTCTAATCCTCCAGGATTTGTCAGTCGTTAATATCTTCATATGTATGTTGGGTAAAGTATTCAGCACTGTCTAAGCTTATGGACCCACAAAACCCTTTCTGTAGAAGGAGCATCTCCTGGAACTTGTGTTCCTGAAATACTTTTTTGGGAAATGCTGGTCAGATGTCCACCAAGTACTAGACAAGCTCAGTGGGATTTCTCAGCTGAAGCAATGGTGAGAGGCCCAATGGGCAGTGCTACCAGCATTCAGTTTGGGCTTTCTTTGCCTTGGGAGACAGCTTAATATTGTGTAGACAACCCCACTTATTTACTATACTGCACTTGTTTATTCTTCACCAGGACCCTCTGGGGTGGGGTTTACTCATCCCCATTTTAAGATGAAGAACTGAGGCTCAGAGACATTGAGTAACTTCAGCTATATCACACAGCTAACGAGTGGTAGAGCTGTGATTTGAGCTCATATCTTTCCAACTCCAAAGCCTGTGTTCTTCCCACTGCACCACACACTGCCTCTCCCTTCCTGGCCTCTAGCCTAGTGCTTGGCTCCAGGCAAGGGCTCATTCAGAGTTCATCTTTTCACACCTTTCCCGGAGACCTTTTCCTTGTTACAGACGAGGGGAAGAAGGGCTATGCCAGTTGGGATTCTTGCATTTTGGGCAGCTATGTAGAGGAAGGACCAAAAAAACCAAATCAAACCTGTTGCCATGGAGTCGATTCCGACTCCTAGCGACCATATAGGACAGAGTAGAACTGCCCCCTGGAGTTTCCAAGGAGCGGCTTGTGGACTCGAACTGCCGACCTTTTGGTTAGCAGCTGATCTCTTAACCCACTCCATGGTCACGCCATTCCTCTGCAGGCCAGCAGAACCCAGCTCTCCAGCCTCTGCCCACCACTGGGTTCTAATCCCACCAGTGTAAAGAGCAGGACCTTGGAATCAGACTGATACGCGTGTTCAGATTCTGCTCTGATGTTCTTAGCAGCTTTGAGGTCTCAGGGCCTGTGTCTCCTCATCTATAAAACAGACCAAATAATACCAACTCCAGGTGGCTTTGAGGATTAAGTAAGATGAAGCATAGAAAACACTTAGTACAGGGCTTGCTACAAATAACTGCTCAGCAAATATCCAAATCTGCCAGGCAAGGCAGAAAGGGGAAAGAACCTCAAGTTTTGTTTTCATGACTGAGGGTGATACTTGCTCTGACTGCTATGTTCAAAATTAGATGAATTGTTTGATTTCTCATAGCGTCACCTTCTCCTTGGTCAGAGAGTAAAATAATTGCTTTATCTTGGTAGAATCACAGCACAGTGTTAAGGAAAATGTATCCAGTAGATGGTTAAGTGCTCAGCTGCTATCCAAAAGCTGGGCAGTTTGAACCCACCAGCAGCTCTTCCAGAGAAAAGAC